TACTTATTAATAATATCCATGAAAACATTTGCATAAGCAAATTCAAAGTTGCTAGCATGACAAACATGCAAGACAAATTATTTACTCACTCTAAGTAACACTGCAACTTTTCTCAACTGTCTAAAGTCAAAACTTTATTGAAAATGGCTTTAGCCTTGAATTTCCGCACTACATTGAATTCAACAATGTCTTTATGCCAATGAAATTCCGAATTATTATACATGCGGAGTTAGCCAGTTATGTCTGCTGATAAGGAGAAATTCTACTGCTGAAAACTACACGGAGAAATTCGCGAATTTCTCGTTGCATCCTTAATGACAGAAGTTTTGTTAGTATTGACTAATAATGGCTGCACTTGCCAGGACAAACATACAGCATCTTTAAAGATTATCGTTATTGATGTTCTATTTTCTCTCTTTGAACACAAGGAATTGCTATACTCGAATTGCATTTGTTCCCATTGGTCAATGAATTTATCAGACTCGGTCATCTCATTAGTAATAAATAATTTGCAACGCTTCACTCCTGTTTGGCTGCTAATACGTACCGCATTACGATTTTTGTTGATTAAAATGCCTGCGAGGTTGTTAATTCTTCTTGTATTCGTGCTTGGCACAGTTTATGCCGAGCCATACAAGTGCAGAGGTGTTTATAATCCATCAGATTATATTGGAAAACTTCGAGTTCCAAACAACTGTGATGTTATTAAGCAACCAGACTGCCCATCGTCTTGGAAGTCTGGAATACCCGAAGGCAGCGAAACGTCTGTGCCAATGATTTACCAAAACTTTCTGAATTGTCATGAAGGTTGTACTTCCTGTGGATACGTGCCGATCGATCCAAAATCTGGCGAAGTCCTTGGGAAAAGTGGCGTTACGATTGGTCGTGGTGTTGATCTTGGAAGCAAGTCGAGGGCATCTTTCACGTCATTGTCAAGCATATTAGTTGACAAACTTGAACCTTACTTTGGTTTGAAACGAAATCTCGCTGCCTGTGCTACGATTGAACGTTCCTTGGGACTAACGCTGGAGGAAGCAAATATTTTAACTGATGCTGTTACAAACGATGTGGTTGAGAAAGTTTCAAAAAAATATGACAGCGATAAAGATGAGAATGCGCTGGCGTTTGCATCAGTTCCTCGCGGTATTCGCACAGCCATCGTCAGCGTTTGGTATCAATTTGGTCATCATTCGGCTTATCCAAAGTTCTGGGGATTTGTGACGAAAAATGATTGGGACAATGCGATAAAAGAACTGAGATATTTTTACAAGAATCCCAACGAGCAGGCTAGAGGGGATTTGATCAGACGAAGCAACGAAGCGGACATAATTGAAGCAACTCTTTTGAGATGCAACCGCTCTGTTGACGTTGTTCTCTTGATAGACGAGTCTGGCAGTGTTGGAAGCATAAACTTTCAAGAAAGCCTCGATTTTGTAAAGAACATGACAAAAGCGTTTCCCGATGAGAAACTCAGCGGGAAAAACGGCACTAGATTTGGTTTGTCCACATTCAGTACCAGCTACAAATCACATTTCTATTTATCAAACTACACAAAGCAGTCAAGCTACCTTTCCGCAATTAGTCGAGTTTCGTACGCCAGTGGATCTACCTATCTTGGTGAAGCTCTTGAAGAAATCTTAACCGATCAATTCACCGAAGAACGAGGTCTGCGTCCAGAGGTAGATGGCGTACCTCGTATTTTGATTGTTCTAACGGACGGCGAAGCGAACGACAATGTTTCAATTCCAGCAAAAAATGTAAGAGATGAAAACATCGTTATTTATGCAATTGGAATCGGCGAGTATAATCTTGAACAACTTAAAGAGATTGCTTCTTCTGAGTCACACGTTTACACGCTGTCTACTTTTACCGAACTTGAGAAATTCATTTCCATGCTAACGGCGTCATCATGCTATGAGCCTCGTCCTGTTTCTCTTAACGAGACCATAATAACAAATGTAGCAAAGGACACGTATCAGTATTTCAGTTACAAAGTAAAGGAATCTTCAAACCTCGAAATCAGTGTAGCCGATTTATCTGGCAGCACGTTTGTTTACGTCTCTCGCACTAATCCTCACCCTTCTAAGTACGACAATGACATTTCCTTCAACCTTTCACAACAAAAGAAGAAAATCATCGTCATTCCAGCTCGGCCCATACCAGATACACGAAGAAAACGGTCAACCGACGTGGACGACGAGCGCACACGACAAATCTATGTCTCGGTAACTTCCGACACTGAATCAGCTCAGTTCAAAATTGAAGCCAATGAATGTAATCCCTTGAACTGTACGGAGGGAACGAATGAAATACCCACAACTCAACCTCCTACCACTCACCTTTCTACAACTACTGGAACACCTTCTGCTACTGCAACAACTACTACTAAAAAACCTACTGCCACTGCAACACCTACTACCACAACGCTGAAATCCTCAGCTCGTGTTGTTATCGCTACAAAGTTCGTCGTGGTATGTTTTGCGATGTTGATTACTCTTCTTGAAATACATGACATTTGAATATTGTCTGGTTTGTTTCTGAAGATAGAAACAAGCGAGGACCTTTCGTTATTCCCATATTTCTTAGCTATAAACAGTATATTATTAATGATGATTATAGCAACATGCTTTGCACTCTATTATCATAATTCTCTTTTGACATGTAATCGCAGTATATTCATTTCAAATAATATTTCAGAAATGTATGGCTGTGTTTCATTATCCAGTTATAATATTTCCCAAGGGCAGAGCTGGTGAATTATCGGGGGCAGAGCTGGTGAAACGTCATAAAGGAGACCCTAAGAATAATTAACGCCTCTCAAATACAGGCCCAGACATTTTTGGTCCTCCCCAAAACCTCTCCGACAAGCAACGGCCGGGAAACCGATCGAGTGGACTTTGTGCCGAGGTAATGAGAGTTTGTAAATTAATCGACACAAAAAATGGCTATAAAATCTTTTCTACTTAAGTTATATTATAAAAGAAATAGAAAACATTTTATCCTGTGTTTCTACACAGTTAAAATACTCATTAACAATTCATAAACCTTGTGGCAAATCATGTCAACCATAATATGTCACATGGAGTGACTTTATATCTGATAAAACTCATCTCCATTAGTATTCTTTATATAATTCTTCATCCTAATTAGTATGATTATATCATTGTTCATCCTAATTAGTATTCTTTTGTAGTCGTATTTTAAGCCATTCAAAACACTCAAACTCGCGTTTAATCATATCTAAAACGTTCGGCTGCCCCTCGCGTTTTAAATATGATAAAACACTCCTTCTCGTGTTTTAAATAGTATACATATAAGGCCTACTTTGGGGGCCAAGGTCGCCTAATTTCGCCTAATGTCGCCCATGTGCACCCAATTTTTGAACTTTTCCTAACAGTCTATTTGCTTAATGTCTCCTAATTTCGCCTAATTAAATATCGCCCAGTTTCGCCCAGCGACGCATACTTCTTTTCTTTGAAAATCGCCAATGTCGCACAATGTTGCACATAATAACGGCGACCTTGGCCCCCAAAGTAGTCCTCAGATATAGAAACACTTGTGATAGTTTGGGAGAACTCGAAATCTATTTCTCGTTTTCCAAAATTCTCATGTGTGTTTCTATAACTGTCTCCAGTCTTTGTTGTTTACGTTCATTGGACTCGGTCAATAAGATTTTAGTTAAAATTCTTCTCAGTCCGTGTGTCGAATCACTATATAGACGGTTGCGGTCATAATGTATTATTTGCGTTGACTTCCTAAAATGTTTCAATAATTAATAGTGCAGTTTCGAGTGCAGCTTGGAAAAAACATGCTCGAGTGGGTTTTTCAAAGTCAAAAACGATCACACTGTATATATATTGCATGAGTCCGGAGGACGAGTGCAATTTGAAGTCTTTGAAAAACTCACGATTGAATTTTTTTCAAATGCACGAGAAACCATACCCTATTACTTATTAATAATATCCATGAAAACATTTGCATAAGCAAATTCAAAGTCGCTAGCATGACACATATGCAAAACAAATTATTGACTCACTCTAAGTAACACAGAAACTTAATGCAACTTTTCAACTGTCTAAAGTCAAAATTTTATTGAGAATGGCTTCAGCCTTGAATTTCCGCACTATACATTGAATTCAACATGCGGAGTTAGCCAGTTATGTCTTCTGTCTGGGAGAAATTCTATACTGCTGAAAACTACAAGGAGAAATTCGCGAATTTCTCGTTGCATCCTTAATAAACGAAGTTTTGTTAGCATTGACGAATAATGGCTGCCCTGGCCAGAACAAACATGCAGCATCTTTAAAGATTATCGTTATTGATGTTCCATTTTCTCTCTTTGAACACAAGGAATTGCTATACTCAAATTGCAATTGTTCCCATTGGTCAATGAATTTATCAGACTCGGTTATCTCATCATAGCAATAAATAATTTGCAACGCTTCACTCCTGTTTGGCTGCTAATACGTACCGTAGTCATTACGATTTTGTTGATTAAAATGCCTGCGAGGTTGTTAATTCTCCTTGTATTCGTGCTTGGTACAGTTTATGCCGAGCCATACAAGTGCAGAGGTGTTTATAATCCATCAGATTATATTGAAAAATTTCGAGTTCCAAACAATTGCGATATTATTAAGCAATCATACTGCCCATCTTCCTGGAAGTCTGGAATACCCGAAGGCAGCGAAACATCGGCGCCAATGATTTACCAAAACTTTCTGAATTGTCATGAAGCTTTTACTTCCTGTGGATACGTGCCGATCGATCCAAAATCTGGTGAAGTCCTTGGGCACAGTGGTGTTACGATTGGTCGTGGTGTTGATCTTGGAAGCAAGTCGAGGGCGTCTTTCGTGTCATTGTCAAGCACATTGGTTGACAAACTTGAACCTTACTTTGGTTTGAAACGAAATTTCGCTGCCTGTGCTACGATTGAACGTCCCTTGGGACTAACGCTGGAGGAAGCAAACACTTTGACAAATGCTGTTACAAACGATGTGGTTGAGAAAGTTTCAAAAAAATATGACAGCGATAAAGATGAGAATGCACTGGCGTTTGCATCAGTTCCTCGCGGAATTCGCACAGCCATCGTCAGCGTTTGGTATCAGTCTGGTTATCCTCTGTCTTATCCAAGGTTTTGGAATTTTGTGACGAAAAACGATTGGGACAATGCGATAAAAGAATTGAGAAATTTTTACGAGAATGAGAACGAGCAGGCTAGAGGAGATTTGAAAAGACGAAACGACGAAGCGGATATAATTGAAGCGACTCTTGTGAAATGCAACCGCTCTGTTGACGTTGTTTTCTTGATAGATGAATCTTGGAGTGTTTCCCTCGCTAACTTTCAAGAAAGCCTCGATTTTGTAAAGAACATGACAAAAGCATTTCCCGATCAACAACTCAGCGGAAAAAATGGCACCAGATTCGGTTTGTCCACATTCAGTACCAGCTACAGATCACATTTCTATTTATCAAACTACACAAATCAGTCAGCCTACCTTTCCGCAATTAGTCGAGTTTCGTACGCCGGTGGATCTACCTATCTTGGTGAAGCTCTTGAAGAAATCTTAACTGATCAATTCACCGAAGAACGAGGTCTGCGTCCAGAAGTAGATGGCGTACCTCGTGTTTTGATTGTTCTAACGGACGGTCACGCGACCGACAATATTTCAATTCCAGCAAAGAATGTGAGAGATGAAAACATCGTTATTTATGCAATTGGAATCGCCAAGTATAAACTCGGACAACTTCAAGACATTGCTTCTTCAGAGTCACATGTTTACACACTGTCTACTTTTACCCAACTTGAGAAATTCATTTCCACGCTAACTGCGTCAACATGCTATGAACCCCGTCCTGCGTCTCTCAACGAGACCATTATAACAGATGTTGAAAAGGACACGTATCAGTATTTCAGTTACAAAGTAAAGGAATCTTCAAACCTCGAGATCAATGTAGTCGATTTATCTGGTAGCACGCTTGTTTACGTCTCTCGCACTAATCCTCACCCTTCCAAGTTCGACAATGACATTTCCTTCGACCTTTCACAACAAAAGACCAAAATCCTTATCATTCCAGCTCGGCTCATACCACGGAGAAAACGGTCAACCGACGACGACGACGAGCGAACACGACAAATCTATGTCTCGGTAACTTCCGACACTGAATCAGCTCGGTTCAAGATTGAAGCCAACGAATGTAATCCCTTGAACTGTACGGAGGGAACGAATGAAATCCCCACAACTCAACCTCCTACAACTCAGCTTCCTACAACGACTACTGCAACACTTTTTGTTACTGCTGCTGCTACCACTACAATACCGAACTCTTCAGCTTGTGCTGTTATCGCTACAAACTTCGTCGTGGTATGTTTTGCGATGTTGATTTCTCTTCTTGAAATATATGGCATTTGAATATTGTTTGGTTTGTTTCTTAAGATGCAAACAAGCAGGACTTTCCGTTATTCCCATATTTCTTAGCTATATAAACATTATATTATTAATGATAATTGCACGTATATATGTTATAACATTAAGTATTTCTTTAAGTCTATTGCATGTAGCAACATTATCCAGTAAATGGACTAAATTGCCAAATATATAATATTTCTCAAGGGCAGAGCTGGTGAATTATATAGGGGGTAGAGCTGGCCAAAATAGTTATAACGCCTCACAAATACAGGTCCAGACATTTTGCTTCTCCCCCAAAACCTCTCAGACAAGCAACGACCGGGCAACCGATCGAGTTGACTTTGTGCTGAGGTAATGAGAGTTTGTAAATTAATCGATACAAAAAATGGCTATAAATTTTTTTTAGTTAAGTTATATTATAAAAGAAATAGAAAACATTTTATCCTGTGTTTCCATACAGATATATAAGGCCTACTTAGGGGGCCAAGGTCGCCTAATGTCGCCTAATTTTGCCTAATTTCGCATAATGTCGCCCATGTGAGCCAATTTTTGAACTTTTCCTAACAGTCTATTTGCTTAATGTCGCCCAATTTCGCCTAATGTCGCCCAGTTTCGCCCAACGACGCATACTACTTTTCTTTGAAAATTGCCAATGTTGCCTAATGTCGCATAATATTTGAAAATTGCCAATGTTGCCTAATGTCGCATAATATTTGTAATAATGTCGCAAAACACTTGTGATAGTTCGGGAGAACTCGAAATCTATTTCTCATTTTCCAAAACTCTCACGCGTGTTTCTATAACTGCTTAGAATTGGCTCCAGTCATTGCTGTTTATACGCTTATTGGACTCGGTCAATAACATTTTTGTTAAAATTCTTCTCAGTCCGTGTGTCCAATCACTAGATTGTTGCGGTCATGACGTATTATTTGCGTTCCTAAAATGTTGCAATAATTGATAGTATGATTTCGAGTACAGCTTAGAAGAAACATGCACGAGTGGGGTTTTCAAAGTCAAAGACGATCACACTGTATATATTGCACGAGTCCGAAGGACGAGGTCTTTGAAGTCTTTGAAAAACTCATGATTCACTTTTTTTCAAATGCACGAAAAATCATACCATTACTTATTAATAATATCCATGAAAACATTTGCATAAGCAAATTCAAAGTTACTATCATGACACACATGCAAAACAAATGATTTGCTGACTCAAATAGCACAGCAAACTTAATGCAACTTTTCTCAAAATGGCTTTAGCCTAGGTACTTGCCACGTATCTCTTTTGTCACACTGAATTTCCACACCGCTCTTATAGTCAATTAAATTTGAGTAATTTTATCACAAAAACATCTTGAAAATCATTTCAAAATTTATACAAACCGTGCATGTTAGACTTGTAAATACGCTGAATTTCGAATTGCCACAAAGCTTGCGTGTGCTCGTAGGATTATTTTCGGAATGGTTGCTTGCATGCGTAAATGATTCTGAAAACGAGTGTAATGTTCAATACATTGAATTCAACAATGTCTTCATGAATGAAATTCCGAATTATTATACATGCGCAGTTACGTGTGCTGATAAGGAGAAATTCTACTGCTGACCAATGGCTATATACGCAAAGTGTAGTGATTGACGGTGTTAAATCTATCTCTAAAGACTTGCGCTGTGGAGTCCCACAAGGATCAGTTCTCGGCCCTATACTATATTTACTATACACTTCACCCCTTGGTGATATCATCAGAGGTCATGATCTTGATTTTCACTTTTATGCAGACGACTCGCAATTATATCTCGCTTTTGAGTCAACCACTGAAGGAAAAGCGGGAGCACTGGTACAAATCGAAATGTGTGTAAAGGAGATTGATTTGTGGATGGTCAAAAATAAATTAAAATTGAATGGGGCCAAGACTGAGTTACTAGTAATCAATGCACGAAATCGTTTATGCCCTGCTGTACACCATATAGAAATATCTAAGTCAATAGTTCAACCAAGTACTTCAGCACGAAACATCGGTGTAACCTTCGATCAACACATGTCCATGGATAAACATATTACCAACATTTGCAAGAACTGTTTTTCCATTTGAGAAAAATAGCAAGAATAAAAGAGTACTTATCAAAATCAGATATCCAAACCCTAGTTCATGCCTTTATTACATCGAAACTAGATAATTGCAACTCTTTGCTATACGGACTACCTAAATTTCTTATAGATCGATTACAGAATGTGCAAAACTGTGCTGCTCGTCTGGTGACAGGAAGCAGAAAATACGACCATGTTACTCCGTTAATGAAACAATTACATTGGCTCCCCATCAGTCAACGCATCATCTATAAAATTGTTCTTATCACGTATAAATCTCTGAATGGCTCAGCTCCACATTACATTAATAATATGCTAAAACCTTACACACCATCAGCAAATTTACGCTCCTCATCCAAAGGATTGCTTACCATACCTTCAGTAAAACTAGTGAACTATGGTGAACGATCGTTCTCATATGCTGCACCGAAACTGTGGAACGAACTGCCAGAGTATATTAGAGAGAGTGAGACCTTGCCTATTTTTAAAACCAGATTAAAGACACATCTTTTTAAACAGTATTATGACTAAGTTATTATTTTAACAAGATTATTAGCAATTTTATAGTATTCTATATAGTTGTTGTTTTAATATTATCAACATACATAACATAAAGTAATTTTATATTCTTAACGAGAAGAGCATATAATTATTTTTTAGTAATTTTATAGTATAGTAATTTTAGTAGTCAATGCATGCACTATGTTCTAACACTTAGTATATATTTTTAACACTTGATGTTAAGCGCTATTGAGCTATGGGAAATGGCGCTATATAAATGAATTATAATAATAATAATAATAATAATACGCTGGCCAGAACAAATATATACAGCATCTTTAAAGATTATCGTTATTGATGTTCCATTTTCTCTCTTATCCAACAAGGAATTGCTATACTCAAACTGCACTTGTTCCCAATTGGTGAATGAATTTATCAGACTCGGTTATCTCATCATAGCAATAAATAATTTGCAACGCTTCACTCCTGTTTGGCTGCTAATACGTACCGTAGTCATTACGATTTTGTCAGTGATTAAAATGCCTGCGAGGTTTTTTAATTATTCTTGTACTCGTGCTTGGCACAGTTTATGCCGAGCAATACAAGTACATAGGTGTTTATAATCCATCAGATTATATCGAAAAACTTCGAGTTCCAAACAATTGTGATATTATTAAGCAATCAGACTGCCCATCCTCTTGGAAGTCTGGAATACCCGAAGGCAGCGAAACGTCTGAACTGTCATGAAGGTTTTACTTCCTGTGGATACGTCCCGATCGATCCAAAATCTGGCGAAGTCCTTGGGCACAGTGGCGTTACGATTGGTCGTGGTGTTGATCTTGGAAACAAGTCGAGGGCGTCTTTCACGTCATTGTCAACCACATTAGTTAACAAACTTCAACCTTACTTTGGTTTGAAACGAAATTTCGCTGCCTGTGCTACGATTGAACGTCCCTTGAGACTAACGCTGGATGAAGCAAACACTTTGACAGATGCTGTTACAAACGATGTGGTTAAGAAAGTTTCAAAGAGATACGACAGCGATAAAGATGAGAATGCGCTGGCGTTTGCATCAGTTCCTCGTGGTATTCGTACAGCCATCGACAGTGTTTGGTATCAGTTTGGTTATCCTACGGCTTATCCAAAGTTCTGGGGATTTGTGAAGAAAAATGATTGGGACAATGCGATAAGAGAATTAAGAAATTTCTACAAGAATCCGAACAAGCAGGCTAGAGGAAATTTGATCAGACGAAACAACGAAGCCGACATAATTGAAGCGACTCTTCTGAGATGCAGCCGCTCTGTTGACGTTGTGTTCCTGCTGGATAACTCTTACAGTGTTGGAAACACAAACTTTCAAAAAAGCCTCGATTTTGTAAAGAACATGACAAAAGCTTTTCCCGATGAGAAACTCAGCGGAAAAGATGGCAGCAGATTCGGTTTGTCCACATTCAGTTGCAGCTACAGATCACATTTCTATTTATCAAACTACACAAATCAGTCAGCCTACCTTTCTGCAGTTAGTCGAGTTTCGTACTCCAGTGGAGGTACGAAACTTGGTCGAGCTCTACAACACATTTTAATCGATCAATTCACAGAAGAACACGGTCTGCGTCCAGAAGTAGATGGCGTACCTCGTGTTTTGATTGTTCTAACGGACGGTAAATCGCACGATGTTGTTTCGATCCCAGCAAGGAATGTAAGAGATGGCAATTGGAATCGGCGAGTATAATTTTCAACAACTTAAAAAGATTTCTTCGTCTGAGTCACATGTTTACACGCTGTCTACTTTTACCGAACTTGAGAAATTCATTTCCACGCTAACGGCGTCAACGTGCTATGAACCCTGTCCTGCGCCTCTCAACGAGAACATGACAAAAGCTTTTCCCGATGAGAAACTCAGCGGAAAAGATGGCAGCAGATTCGGTTTGTCCACATTCAGTTCCAGCTACAGATCACATTTCTATTTATCAAACTACACAAATCAGTCAGCCTACCTTTCTGCAGTTAGTCGAGTTTCGTACTCCAGTGGAGGTACGAAACTTGGTCGAGCTCTACAACACATTTTAATCGATCAATTCACAGAAGAACACGGTCTGCGTCCAGAAGTAGATGGCGTACCTCGTGTTTTGATTGTTCTAACGGACGGTAAATCGCACGATGTTGTTTCGATCCCAGCAAGGAATGTAAGAGATGGCAATTGGAATCGGCGAGTATAATTTTCAACAACTTAAAAAGATTTCTTCGTCTGAGTCACATGTTTACACGCTGTCTACTTTTACCGAACTTGAGAAATTCATTTCCACGCTAACGGCGTCAACGTGCTATGAACCCTGTCCTGCGCATCTCAACGAGACCATTATAACAAATGTAGCAAAGGACACGCATCAGTATTTCAGTTACAAAGTAAGCGAATCTTCAAACCTCGAAATCAGCGTAGCCGATTTATCTGGTAGCACGCTTGTTTACGTCTCTCGCACTAATCCTCACCCTTACAAGTACGACAATGACATTTCCTTCGACCTTTCACAGCAAAAGAAGAAAATCATGGTCATTTCAGCTCGTCCCACACCAGATACAAAGGGAAAACGGTCAACCAACGACGAGCTCACACGACAAATCTATGTCTCGGTAACTTCCGACACCGACTCGGCTCGCTTTAACATTGAAGCCAAGGAATGTGATCCTTCAAACTGTACGGAGGGAACAAATGAAACGCCTACACCTCCGATTCCGATATCCTCAGGTGGTATTTTTACTGCTACAAAATTCGTGGTGCTAAGCTTTGCGATGTTGAGGATACTTTTTGAATCATATGGCATTTGAACATTGGCTTGTCTTTTTAAAATATAAATGGACAAGTGGACAAAGACTTTTGGTTGTTATCATATTTCTTAATTTCTTAGCTGTAAACATTATAATGGTCATAATATAATAATAACGATTTATTGGTAGTACGTCCAGAGACTGACTCTTCGCTTACCAAAATATACGAACACAATTAAATTATATACAAATTCTACAAACTATATAACGCAATATACTGTAAAATAACTGTTAACGTGTTCGACAGGACAAAGTTTTACACATAAAATTACCAATTACAAATTAAAACAAAATATTTATAATTATGTAACTATATACAAATAATACATGTGGCGCATGGGTTATTTCAAAATTTAGTCAAGTCTTGACCATGTTTTCATTGTTATTGGCCTCTTTACAAAATACTCGGTGGTCTATACATTTCCTAATTTCTACAGCTAAACCATTAAAAAGATGTGCTGACTGGTCCTGATAATTGCAGGTATGTAAATTTTAAGCATTTCCCTAATTTTATTATAGCTACAAATTAAGACACGAAGATTTTCTGCATGCACTTTTCCGTTATGGCCCTCACGTGGTTTTAGCCGAGAAAGCAAAAATGTTTATTTATACTTCGTGCCTTTATAGTACGTAAGGTTGGCAGAGTAAAATGCGGAGCCAAATTCTCAATTTCTTCGTGAACAAAAATTAGATTGATAATGCAGACTGATAATGTATTATTAATATAAATGCAGATTGACTAATGGCGCTTCTACTTTTTGCTGTTATACGCTTCATAATTTGGCATGCTTTCAAGGTGAAAGACTGTAAGGCAGTTTGCAAAACAAAATCTGTTCCCACTGCTTGTTCCAAGTTGTTGACAAGTTGCTGTCATCTGGTAACAAGGCAGATGCATGGGGCCAACAGACTGGTAACAAATTGTTCGAACAAGTCTAATATTGCCTGCACGTACAAGAAGTCGTTAACAAGTTGATGACAACAAGCTCGTAGCAATTTGTTACGAACAGCTTGTTGTTACAGGTCTGCAAAGAAGTTGTTACGAATCTGTCCACAAGCTGTTGACAAGTTGTGTTCGCACCATAGGTTCGCACTGCTTGTTCCCAGTTTGTTGTGACAAGTTTGGAACGAGCTGTTAACAACTTGTAACAAGCTTGATGGCATTATCAGGCTTGTTACAAGGTTGTCCTAACAAGTCTGATACAATCATGATATAACAAGAATGTTACAAGATTGATGACACAAGGTTGTAACAATATTGTTATATCATGACTGTAAAGCTGGAGTAATACGAGCAACAAAATTGCTGCAACTTGCAACAAAATCTGATTTGTTGAAAGCAGAAAAGTTGACACATGTTGCCTCGTGATTTGTAATTTATGTGTAAACATTTTCAATTAACATGCGTAGAAATCAGATTTTGTTGCAAGTTGCAGCAATTTTGTTGCCCGTATTACTCCAGCTTAACGGACTAGTTGGAAAACCTTGGAAAAAGACTGATAATATCAACAAGGTTGTTACAAGTTGTTAGAATGCTTGTTCCAAATTTGTTGACAACTTGGGACAAGCAGTGCGAACACAATCTGTTGACGCCTTGTTGGCAGACTTGCTAATAGATAAGAGATTTTTACGCGTGTATTAGTCTTGTTGGAACAACTTGAAGCAAGTCTGTTATCGTCGTCAGACTTGTCACAACAACTGGGGACAAGTGATGCAATGTAACAACTATATATATGACGTTAAACGGCAATGAATGTTACGCGATAATACTGAAATTCAAATGAACATACATGGTCATGGTATATTTGAAGATAATCATTTTCATGTTTCATTTTCTCTTTCTCTTTCTCTTTCTCTTTCTGAGAAGCGAGTACTAGGAATTGCTTACAACGTCTATTCAAATTGCATTTGTTCGAGTGGGTTAATTGTATTATAAACCGTATACTATTGATAAAGCTTTTTATTTCACTCCAGCTGTTTACGTACATTGGACTCGGTGAGTAAGATTCTGGTAAAAATGCTTGTTAAAATGCCGGAAAATGATTTAAAAATCTATGCAAATCTATACATGTTAGACTCCGAATTTTGAATTCATTTGACAGGCTGAAGGCGAAAATACTTTTAAAAATGGGCGTACAAATTCAGTAAATTGAATTCAGCATAATATATTATTTAGGAAGAAAAATTACAAATTCGAAGTTTCTTGGAAAAGAAAATTGATTAATTACCTCACGCAGAATATAATAATAAAAAGCTTTAATCGAACTCACTAAAGACGGAGGTGGTAGACATTATACAAAACAGCAAAAGGGAAGTTTGATAAAGGATTGGCAAACGATTTTCGATACCCTGATATAAGACAAAGCGAAGTAGGTAATGTTCGAGTTAAGCCCTTTTCGAGTTAAGCCCCGATCACGCCCAAACCACACCCATTTCCGGCTTAACTCGAAGAATAAAAAAAACAACTTGGGAAGTTCGAGTTAAGCCCCACGAAAAAGAGGGGCTTAACTCGAAGTAAATGAAATATTCGACGCTCGAGTTAAGCCCCGACATTTGAAGCATGTAAAAGAGCAATAATGTGAGTCGTCCACAATCTAGCTGGAAATAGTTATTACACGTATAGGCTTAAATTGTCTTAAATAAGCTGCAGCCTAAATGAATCACAGACAACTCGTATGTTTAGTCAAGTTTCATTAAGTAAAATTATTTTTGACTAGCTTTTGTAGCTTTGAGCTTATTACGAATAAATTGACCTTGCGGGTTTTATTCCGCGTAAACTGTAAATTTATTCTTAATAAGCTCAGAGGTATAAAAGCTAGTCCAAAATATTCTGTTACTCAATGAAAATTGACTGTTTATACGAGTTGTTCGTGATAATTTATAAGCTGCAGCTTATTTAAGACAATTTTAAGCCTATACGTGTAATAACTATTTCCAGCTAGTTTGTGGACGACTCGCATCATTCCTCTTTTACATGCCTCAAATGTCGGGGCTTAACTCGAGCGTGGAATATTTTCATTTACTTCGAGTTAAGCCCATCTTTTTTCACAGGGCTTAACTCGAACTTCCCAAGTTGTATTTCTTTCTTCGAGTTAAGCCCTTGACGAAAATGGGTGTGGTTTGGACGTGGTCAGGGCTTAACTCGAAAAGGGCTTAACTCGAAGGTTACCTACCTTGGCAAACCCCGCTCGTTAATTACACTATTTTACGTTCCATAATTCGGCATTCGTTAACGCCTGTAGGGCTTCACAAAAATTTCCTGTTTATGCAATAAAAATACCACAGCGCTGCGGGAGACATTTCGAACACCTGCATATTATGGGATTTCGTAGACTATAAAAAATATATCGCTTACTATAACACTGCAAATATTAAAACTCAAGATTAGAGCTATTTAATAAACAAGACAACAGAATTCAACAAAGTTAATATTTCGACTTTATTCATGGTCATATTGTCAAACCTGTTTCGCCAATGACTTTGAAATAAAGTCGAAATGTTATCTTGAATTTTGTTGTTTTGTTTAAATATTAATAGCTAGAATCTTGAGTTCAAAGAAAAAGGATGTTAATATTCAGAGCGTCTTTTATTTTCACATAATAATATGACGTGAAATTGTCTGCTTGTAAAGGATTCTATAACGGCAAACTGAATAATCTCATACAATAATACTGCGGAAGCTCAAATGAACCTTGAAGACCTAATATATGACGGCTATTCGGTAAGCATTTTGTTTATATGTTTCACTTTCTCTTTCTGAATACTAGGAATTTATTAAAAATGCATGTGTCAATTAACATTCCACTTGTTCTCATTGGTCAATCGAATATAGTTGAGTCGGTGTCATTATAAATTGCTGTATTTGCAAAGTTTTTTTTATTTCACATCTGCACGTTCTGAGTGTAAACGCAGTCAAATTTTAGTTAAAATGCTTGTGAGATTTTTAAGTCTTCTTGTAATTGTGCTTGGCACTGTTTATTCCGAACAATACAAATGCAAGCGTGCTTATAAACCGTCAGATTACACTGGCAAGCTTCGAGTTCCAAGCGATTGCGTTTTTGAGCAGTCACCCTGCCCAAAGTCTTGGAAGAAAGGAATACCTGAAGGCGGGGAAACATCTATGCCAATGATTGACCGAAAGTTTCTCATTTGTCATGAAGGTTTTTCTCTGTGTGGATATGTCCCGATCGATCCAGAATCTGGTAAAGTCCTTGGGCAAAGTGGCGTTACGGTTGGCGGTGGTGTTGATTTTGGAAGTAAGTCGAGGGAGGATTTCAAGTCATTGAGTCGCACACTTGTTGACAAAGTTGAACCTTACTTTGACTTGACAGAACATCACGCTGCTTGTGCTGCATTTGAACGTCCCTTGAGACTAACATGGCTGGAAGCAAATACGTTGACAGATGCTGATATAAAATACACGACCAACAAGATCTCAAAAGAATACAACAAAGCTATAGAAAAACATAAGAATACGCTGCCGTTTGCATCTCTCCCTCGCGGCATTCGCACAGCCATCATAAGCGTTGCGTATCAGTTCGGTGAAACACCAAAATTTCCAAAGTTCTGGGGAAATGTGACGAAAAACGATTGGGACAAAGCGATAAAAGAATTGAGAAAATTTTACAAGGAACCGGACAACCAACAACGGGGAGATTTGAAAAGACGAAACAACGAAGCGGACATAATTGAAGCGACTCTTGTGAAATGCAACCGATCTGTTGACGTTGTTTTCTTGATAGACGAGTCTGGCAGTGTTTCTCGCAGAGACTTTCAAGAAAGCCTCGATTTTGTAAAGACCATGATAAAAGCATTTCCCGATCAAAAAAAAGATGGCACCAGATTCGGTTTGTCCACATTCAGTTCCAGCTACAGATCACATTTCTATTTATCAAGCTACACAAAACAGTCAGATTACCTTTCCGCAATTGGTCGCGTTTTCTTCGCCCGTGGAGGTACTAATCTTGGTCGAGCTCTTGAAGAAATCTTAACCGATCAATTCACCGAAGAACGAGGTCTGCGTCCAGAAATAGATGGCGTACCTCGTGTTTTGATTGTTCTAACGGACGGTCAATCAGACGACAGTGTTTCAATTCCAGCAAAGAATGTAAGAGATGAAAACATCGTTGTTTATGCGATTGGAATCAGCAATTACAATCTTAGACAGCTTCAAGAGATTGCTTCTTCTGACTCACATGTTTACAAGTTATCCACTTTTTCCCAACTTGAAATATTTATTTCAACGCTAACGTCGTCAGCGTGCTATGAACCCCGTCCTGTGTCTCTTAACGAGACCATTATAACAAATGTAGCAAAAGACAAGTATCAGTATTTCAGTTACAAAGTAAAGGAATCTTCAAATCTTGAAATCAGTGTAGCAGACTTATCTGGTAGTACGCTTGTTTACGTCTCTCGCACTAATCCTCACCCTTACAAGTATGACAATGACATTTCCTTCGACCTTTCGCAGCAAAAGAAGAAAATCATCGTCATTTCAGCTCGTCCCACACCAGATACAAAGGGAAAACGGTCAACCGACGACGACGAGCTCACACGACAAATCTATGCCTCGGTAACGACCGTCACCGACTCAGCTCGGTTCAAGATTGAAGCCAATGAATGTAATCCCTTGAACTGTACGGAGGGAACAAATGAAATGCCTATACCTCCGATATCCTCAGGTGGTATTGTTGCTGCTACAAAATTCGTAGTGGTAGGTTTTGTGATCTTCATGATGTTTTTTAAATCACATGGCATTTGAACATTGGCTTGTATTTTTAAAATATAAATGGACAAGTGGACAAAGACTTTCGGTTGTTATCATATTTCTTAGTTTCTTAGCTGTGAACATTTATAGGTAATAATAATAATAATATAATAATAATAATGATTTATAGGTAATACATCAACAAAGTGACTCTTCATTTACCAAAATATAGAAATACAATTTAATTTTCTTAATTGTATACAAATTCTATACATTGTCAAACTATACGAATACCACTGCAATAGCTATAACAGTTAACGTGTACGACAGGACAAAGTTTTTAATTACTAGCTACTATTAATTGTATTACAAGTTAAAACAAAATATTTATAATTATGTAACCATAAATAATGTGGGTTATTTCAAAGTTTAGTCGAGTCTTGACCATCTTTTCAAGACTAAGGAATTTTTGGCCTCCTTACAAAGTATTCGGTAGTCTCTACAGTTCCTAATTTCTGCAAGTATAAATCATTAAAAGATGTGCTGACTGGTCCGGATACTTGCAACTGTGCCGACTTTACGGTAAATTTTATACATTCCTTAATTTTACAAAGATACGTTATGGTCCTTTCGGGATTTTGGCCATTACTTCATCATGCCCTTACAGTAAGTTATACAGTATAGGTTGACAGAGTAAAATGCGAAGTCAAATTCTCAATTTCTTTGTGAACAAAAATTTTAATTTATATTAATACATTATCAATCTAGAAAATATATAATTCGATAATTCTATATTAATATGAATTGCAGATTCAGGGGCGTCGCTATGGGGGTGGGTAACACCCCCCCCCCAAAAAAAAAAAAATAATTCAAGCGTTGGTCAAAGTTGGTCAAAATGGAACTGATATTTGCCCAAATGTGCTCCAGACTGATTTCCGGTTCTGAAAGGCCCTATTCGCAGGCGAACAGTGCGCGCAAAGCAAGCTGGTCATTTCCCATTGTTTAACTGCCCCACACTCACTCCACACTCAAGTAACACAAAGACTCACAGATGTTGCTTCGTAACATTCGTGAGTCAAAATGAACTTTAAGTTAAAGTGTTTACCGTTCAAAAATGAACTAAATGAACTCGAGTTTTAATGAATCAGATGTTTAATTTGCAATAAATTCTAAATTTCACATATAGAAAGTTTTAAATTGGGCCGCATGCAACTCGGGACATCTGCTTTTGTTATGATGCGAAAGGCATAATATTATATTGGGTTCTAGTAAATTATTAATGATAAATAATTATCTTACCTCCCAAGCCAAGCCAGCAACAAAATCTTCATATTCTTTACTTCCCGAAGTATTACTCATGATCGACGTTTTGTCTTCCTGCCCAGGTGCCACGTAAAATACCGCAATCTTGTGCGTTTCTCGACTAAATATAATCATAGAGCAGTTGTTTTATTAAACATATAAAAACAGATAGAATTTTTACAAGATTACATTAACAGTTTTTATATTAACAGATTTATTGGTACGTATAACATGATTAATATACAATAACATGGCATTGCTGTAATTAATGTTGCCGCTGATTCGGGTGCTGTTGTTGTTGTTGTTGCTGTTGTTGCTGCTGTTGTTGTTGCTGTTGTTGTTGTTGTTGTTGTTGTTGTTGTTGTTGTTGTTGTTGTTGTTGTTGTTGTTGTTGTTGCTGTTGCTCTTGTTGCTGTTGTTGTTGTTGTTGTTGTTGTTGTTGCTGCTGCTGTTGCTGTTGTTGTTGTTGTTGTTATTGTTGTTATTGTTATTCTTGTTTTCTTTATTTCTGTTGCTGTCGTTGTTACTGCAGTTATTGTTTTCGATGTCAATATAAATGTACGTACCTTTTTCTATTATCAAGATGTTTCAACTCTCGAATAAGTTTATCACTTTTCTTCAATAAATCTATTTTCGACCTAAAAACGTGGTATAATGAGGTAGAAATGTTGTTTCCAAAACGGCTAATCAAAACTAAGTAACCAGAACCACAAATGTACAAAGTAATAGAATACTGTACAGACCTCTTTTCCCATCCAAACATTCCGAGTTGGTTAAACAAGAAATGCGAGAGATGAAATGGATTGCTGGGTTCCTGATAATCTTTCGGAGTTATTGGCTTTCCTTTTAATCTGAAAACAAATTAGTTTCATCACGGCTCTGTCCCTCGAAGCCATATATTTAGGTGCACAACATGGCATACTCTCATGCCTCGCCACTGCCTTATGACAGTTTTTTCTCCTTGTTAAAATGGCCAGTTTGTTTAGGAAGACTCCTGGGAGCAGTTGTTCAAAGCTGGATTAGCGCTAACCCTTGGCTAAAATTTAAACTGCTGTTTCAGTTTCTGTATTCGACACATCTGATTATTTCGGAACTTCAGGAAAGAAAACTCCTACTGATCCGTACAAGATGTGTGAAGAAATACTTTGATATTCATAAACAAGCTGTTGGAAAGTGAACTTTAAAATTTAGGTTAATCTAAAGCCCTGGGCAA